TAGCAGGCAGAGAGGTAAACACAGAGGACCCAAACCTATGTGATTGCTGTGGTTGATTCCACATCAAATTTTTAACGGAATGCTTTAATCAAATCGTCGATCCTTTTAATTCCAAGCTTGACAGCTGTACACAGTGTCAACAGAAAATTTCTAGCATATATAATCTTGACGTGACCGAAAGAGTCTATTTTAGCACTTTACAAGACTCTCACGTTCTGGAATTCGAAAGTAAGCCTAAAATGTCCAAAATATAAAGTTCAACTTAAGAATGAATTGTTCGATCCATCAAAATCGTGTAAAATTTTAATTAGCATCAAAAGTGGGAAAATACGCTTTTAATACAAAACTGCCGCTTCGCGGGCTACTCGGTACAAGTCAATTTATATGCCACGTGAAAACAAAGTCAAAGAATATTGCTTTCCCCGTTGCACCGAGAGGCAGGAAACTTAAACCAAGAGCAAACCTCTGCGATAACAGTGTAGTGTATGCGAGCTCAGATTTAGCAGTCAGAATATTTTTGTTTTAATCAATGAAAGCAACGTGCAAGCTAAATCAAATTTATCCCTCTGCTTTTTAATTTTCTGTTGTGTAGTGTTATGTTACGTTTAACTTGAACCACGCATAAAAATTCAAAGGTGTCTAAATGTTTACAGTGAGGGCAAACCAAATGGCAGGCCAGCTGTAGAACCCAATCTTGTCGATTTACAGCACAAAAAGGGTCTATACGTTTTACAACACTGCCGCTTCCGTTCAACTCGACCGTTACACGCTAATTCATATACCAAAACAAAGCGCGGATTTTTTCTTCCACTGCTATATAATTTCTTGTTGTACCGAGTTACACGAGACTTGCACTAAACATAAAAGAAGAAAATTACCCCCCTTTTTTTTGCATGTCCTCTCCTCGTATCCAGCGATCGCAACGCCGATTTCGGTTAAATGAATCGAGCCAGTGTGTTTGTCCGACAGTTCCAGGATGCATTATCTACTAGACAACACATATCACTAAAAATTTCGACCAAAATAATTTTCAATCTCTCACAGTGGCAACAAAACCACAACACATCCACGTGCGAAAAAAGCTGCCATTTCCTCTTTCATCTTGACAACATTTCGCGGGGATTTTGCCTCTAAGCCAATGACTTTGCCGGAAATCGACCACATTATTTTTGTCGCGGCGCATGCGTAGACATTTTTCGCCCATGAGGTTTTCAAACGTTTTCAGTTTAATAAGGTTTTCAGTTAAAAGTGTGAATGAAGACGGCTATTCACGCACGCGCAATACCTAGTACTGTGGAGTGTAAATCTTGAAGTCATGATATAGTCATCCTTGTCTTAAAACCCGAATGTCTCTAATATACAAAGTGCTTGTAATAAAATAAAACTCACAATGCCGTCATAATAAATTACTGAAATGATTGTATCAGCTTAATTTCGTAGCTTGGAACGAACTTGCGTTGTCCTTCCTCAGGCTTTCACTGTCATGATAATAATAATAATAATAATAATAATAATAATAATAATAATAATAATAATATATTTAATATTTATATGGCGCAAATTAACAAACATGAGGATATGAACAAGTGCGCTTAACATATTAAAATTGAATCCAAAATTACTAGTAAGACTTAATTCGCCCAAAGACTTGTTTTGATTTCGATTTCTCTGAGCTTTTTTAGTGAACATAAAAACCTTACTGCTATCTTAAGAACAAGAAGTGCAATAAAGATTTTGATTGTTTCAGTGATAGATCTTTTTACTATGTTGTAATAGCACGACCGCAACGGGGGTCGGCTACATAAGGAAGACACCAGCTCGTTCTCATTTGGATCAATTCAGTAAATTCTGTATTCACCAAACTCCAGTGTTAAAAGGACAACTTAATCTCACACCAGCTTGCTCTATCTCTCTATGACCAAAAGCCTGTCGTAGCTTTTTTTATCCTCACTGGACTTGACAGCTGTCAATCTTAATCAGCTGGAATGTAATCTTACACCAGTAAAAATCCGATTGGTTGTAAGGAAAATTATCATATTTTCCTTCGAGGTTGTGGCGTATGCAGAAAGTCAGCTTTAACTCCAAAATTCACTTAAGTCCAGTTAGTGTCTAAAGATACAAAATAGTTAGGGGGATATAAAAATTACAAAGAATCGGTATTTATAACAAGAAATTTCCGATACACACTATCGTTACTTCAAAAAGTAAAACCGTACATTACACAAGTTGTAGTTCAAAGTCTTCATGTAGGAATAGTGTAACAATACTTATTAATTTTGTTCCGCCTTTTCAAAAAATTAACTCAAACTTGTTTACGAGCTTACAGGAAAAACTAATTAGAGTAAAACTTGGATTATCCAACAAAAAATTTTACTTGACAACCAGTCTCAAACAATCACAGTCAATAATAATAATAATGATAATAATAATAATAATAATAATAATAATAATAATAATAATAATAATTTACATTTATATAGCGCAAACCTCTATATGAATATATTAGGTTGCGCTTTACAATATTGTTATATTAAATTTATGTTAAAGGTGACTAAATAAAAGCGCAAGCTATTAAAAAATATTAAAAACTACAATGAAAGCCAACAATGAGATCTGTTTAAAAGCTAAATTAAAAAAAAAAAAGAAGAGTTTTAACAGCAGTCTTTAAAGTGTCCAATGTCTTTATGTTGCGAATTGCCGAAGGTAATGCACTTCCAGAGATAAGGTGCAGCTGACTGGAAGATTGGAACTCCCGACCTGACTCTACTGCTTGAAAGCTATTAATCGGCACATATGCAATTCGTCTTCTTTTTCTCTTAAGTCAAGACAAAGTGTCCCGTCATTTCGACGGTATGCAGCAAGATACCTTTGCAAACGCTCCTCAGTGACCAGAGAGAGATCAAACAAACCATGAGTGGTTGACCAGTGCCATTTTAAAAGGCCCTCGACGTTTCCAAACACCAGACCTTTGCTGTAATTCTCAAAACTCTTGGTAATTCTAAATCCTGCTGATTTACAATACTTGTCGATCTTACTTTTCGATTCGCACTGAAACTTCTGGATAATACGCTCCGCGTTTTCGGGATTCATCTCCTTGTAGGCGTTAAACACAAATGGGGGCAGGCAAAAGACGTACTGAAAGGCTATTTTACCTCCAGCCTTAAGACTTTCAAACACATTGTTGAAGAATTTTTGTTTGTTAGTCATCCAATGAAGGGCGAAATTACTGAAAATAATGTCGTAAGAACCCGAGCCAATCCCCGGAAAGCTTGAGGCACTTCCTTCTACAAACGAAAGATTCTCAATTTGACTATGAGTCTCCATGGCCAACTGAATTCTTTCCTTGTCAGGATCAACACCAATAACCTTCCCTTCGGGTCCTGCCAACTCAGCGAGGCATGCAGATAGCTCTCCTGTGCCGCAGCCTAAATCCAAGATGACATCTCCAGCTTTGGGGCGGACATCTGTTTGGATGAAGTCCTTACCGTCCACTTTTTGAGTGGACCTCGAAGCTTCCTTGTAGCCTACTGCTTCGCTGTTGTTCGAGGAATCGCCCATATTTTGTTAGTCTGAAACAGGGATAAGTGATAAAGTCAAAATATTTAACAATAATTCCTCTCGCCCTCGTGGGCTCTGACTCAATAGCCCATGAGGCCGAAAAAAAACAACTTTAGCTAGCAAAACGAGATTCAGCCGCCATTGTTTTTGGTTTTCGAAGCCGGCGCTTTTCGCTACTACTGGGCTAGTATTGGAATTGTGGGGCAATCTGATAGTAGTAGTAGTAGTAGTCGTCGTCGTCGTAGTAGTAGTAGTAGTAGTAGTAGTAGTAGTAGTAGTAGTAGTAATAATAATAATAATAATAATAATAATGATAATGATAATGATAATAATAATAATAATAATAATAATAATAATAATAATGATAATGATAATGATAGACACAGTCACCACCAACAAATGGTTACCAAGTAATTTGAAAGGAGAAACAGAGGGACTACTTGTAGCAGCTCAAGACCAGGCAATAAACACCAAAAACTACCAGAAAGTAATATGTGGCCAGCAAGTGGAGAGCAAAATGCAGAATGTGTTCGCAACATGAAGAGAGAGTGCACCATATTGCATCTGGATGTGCACAGAGTACATCTCCAGGCACAATAATGCTGCAGCATATCTCCATTGGAGCATCTGTAAAGATCATGATATAGAGATTACAGACAAATGGTACCAACATGAGCCAGAGACCGTGATGCACAATAAAGATAAGAACATCACCATCATGTGGGACGTGCTAGTCAATTCTGATAGAACTATAACAGCGAAAAAAACAGACATCATCGTTAAAGATTCAGTGAATTCCACCTGCAAAATGATTGATATAACTGTTCCATCAGATAGAAACATCGCACTGAAGGAAACTGAAAAAAAAAAGCAAGTACAAAGACCTAGAACTAGAAATACAGAGAATGTGGCATATGAAAACCATAGTGATCCCTGTGGTTGTTAGTGCGCTTGGTACAGTGAAGAAGGGTATGGTAGAAAACATCAAGAAAGTATCATAGAGAGCTACTATGACAGAGATTCAAAAGTTCTGCATGCTGGGATCTGCGCGTATCCTCAGAAAGGTGCTCAGTGTTTGAACAGCATGATTGACTTGAATAACTGACGCTCTAGGTGCATGGTTTGCGCCCGGCTGATGCACAAAAAGAACACCAGCAAAGACTGTAAGATTTCGAGAAGACAACGAAGTACAGTCAACTGAGACAAGAGATGAACTGAGACTAAAGATGAACGCTTTACAAAGACAGAATAGCAGACCTCAGCAAACGTTTGAAAGATGAACGCCGAGGACACACGGATCATGTGAGTTAGTGCGTCAAAGTGAGGCAAAACCTAAGCAAGCGCTTCAAAGCGAGTCAAATGTGTGTCAAAACAAATTCAATCTCAACAGGATGCTATGGGAGCGTGCACTTCGGCGTCGTAGTTGTGGAATTAATTGGCAATAAGGAGGAATAGTAAGAAATGATATTTTACCGATACCCTTCTGTACAAATACCCTCATTTTTCTCCTTTGAGTAACAGACGTCTTAACTTCTTCACCGGAAGTCTGCTAGGTGCATGACCGCGTTTCGATTATAATTTCTGTCATAAATAAATTGCGCACGACGAAATCTCAGTCCCACTTTCTTTATTTCCTCTACAAAAACACTTTCCTTCTGTACAGTTAACTCCACACCTTCTCCAGCAACGTAATTAACATCAGTACACTCCCTTAGAAAACTTGCTGAAAATCCACAATCTCCACAACATCGCAACATAAACTTTATGAAAAGCAATAACACACAATACAAAAACAAGTATAAAACACCTTCTCTTCCAAACAAAACTAAAAGAAGAACAATGATAATGATGCTTATCAGAACGGTTAGGAAACCACGGTGACTGCGTTTTGCTTCTCCTTGTTGATAATCTATCGCTTTCCTAATCGCTTCGTTTAGATGCAACCCAAAGGACCGTACCTTTTCCTCGCTCTTCCTCTTTCGAATCAGTCTTGCTGGAATAATCTCCAGTAATCGAAATCTCTTCAATCTCAAACTTTATACACACATCTGTCCCAAAAATGTTTTGCATGAAGGCATGTAACTTGTGTAATTTTGACTTTTCTAAAACTGATTTCGAGATATCTCAAACAACTACCGGACTCACTTCGGGAGGAAACTGCAAGTTTACGACATTCTTCAGCGTCGCAAATCCTTTAACAGTTCGCGCTCCTCCGACTCAAATATATATTGAAACCGAAAGAAGTAGAGGTGATCTCGCGATATCTCCAACTCATTCCGGTTTCACTACGTCAAATACCCAAAACGAGCCCACTGCCGAATCTTTTCCCGTACCTCGTGCATAAATTATGGCTATTTTTCACATATCAAATTACCTTGCATCGCAGTGGCGCAATCGGCTGATCCCTCAATATAGAGTCTCATCTGATATGACGGGTCACACGTAAGCCGGTTCAAACCCTGGGCAAGCCAAAATAATAAATTCGTTCCTCCATGAATAAATTAAATGATAAATAAGAGAACTCGAAGTGATCTCGAGATATCTCGAAGTAATAAACTGAAATTCGGAGGACCGCAAACGAATATGCCGCAGAACGTAGGATCTATAAAAGACCTGACCAGCAAAAATACACACTGAGTAGACACAAAGTTAACTTTCACGTAGTACGATCAGCTTTGCAGAATTCAGTGTGTCTATCTCGAAGTAATTCGGCTCTCACTTCGTCCAATAGCCGATTCAGACCTAAGACCCACGGACTCTGCGTGCCCAATCTTGTCCCCAAAAAAGCAACTTTGGGACATTCCTGAGCGTCGCGAATCCTTTACTTCGTGCTCTGCCGAAGTAAAAAACCTCGCTTATTAATTCCAGAGGACACCTGATAATGCACAGAACACCTAACAGAGATTAGGGGTTGCGTTCTCGTACCTTGAACGCAATAAACTAAGCAAGTTAATATGAAATGCAAAAATAATGAGTTTTTATTTTTTTGTAACATTGTACTGTAATAACTTCAGTCCATCTTCTTGTGTGGTTTATATAGACTTATCTTCCTTTTCCTTTCCTCTTCTTAATTTCTTCCTAGTAATAGTTGGCACTACATGTAATAATGATTGTTGCGTCACCTGCATGTGCATTCATGTGATTACTGTGACATTAGACGGACCTTGAACTCAACATCAGGGCCTTCGAGGCCACATATCATTCATACCATGTATATTAGTCGGTACAACACATGAATGTGAACAGATCTAGAAAAAAAATCTCGCTATACAGTTAAAAGGATGCCACTGACCAAGAATAGGTGGCGGGCTCCTTTTGTCGCCTGCAATAACTAAAATAGTAAGCGCGCTCTGATTGGCTGAGAGGCGTCTGAGTATGTAAACATGGTTGTGACGTCAATATGTATTGGTTTCCGCGCCCTAATCACTCAAGCACGAATTTTTTCAAAGTTTTCGAGTTGAAAACTCGACAAGCTTACCTTATTTATTTTTTTCGCTTAAGCTGACATTTTAAACGGCGAGCCTAAAATACAGTTCACTTTTGCACAGATCAGAGTACAGGTTACCAGATAAATGATAGCATTAAAAGTGTATCGTAGCCCTAACCTCTCAACAGAATGCTCTATTAGATCAAGGGGAATCTGTGTGCTTCGGTAATTTATCGATGGAGCAGTGACCTGTACTCTTTACCTGAGTATTGTGACCTGTACTTTAGACCCGGCCCATTTTAAGCGAGAAAAGGCAAAATCCCTCGGGAACTTCCCTTGGTCAAACGAGCAAACAACTTCAGACAGGCGCAATTAAACTGGAACCAGGATTTTGTGGTTCCGGGTTTGGATTTTTCCAGAGCATCCGTTCTTTTTCTTTTTTTTTTTTTCATATCCTCAACCTCCCGGAGGAGAGATGACGAGACGTATTTACAAGACAGACTAAAACAGTGAATATCGTTTTCGCACGCTTTGATTGGCTGCTCAAACTCGGGCTAGCCAGTGCAATTCACCTCCGAGCAACGCCAAACTCGAGTAAGTTACGAGCTTCCCGGTTTGCTGCCGTAATAAACGAAGAAATCTCAGAAAAAAATTAAAGAAGCTGTTCCCGAAAAAACACGAAGAAGACGACGAACTATGGTTTGGAACTTTGTACAGGTGAAGCTTTGTCTATTAAACTGAAATTTATCGATGGAATCGGTGAAAAAGTGTTTTGTTCACAAACGCAAATAAGTCTTGCGTTACTTTATTTAGCTGACATGTCTAATAAATAAGCCCAAAACTAAGTTAAATGTTATTAACTATGTTATACGGCAGCATAACTTTTATGGCGTCTTCCCAGGCCTTCTCGGTCATTGCATTTCGGTGAAGCATCCGAGAAGAACGGCCAGGAGACTCGCTCCGACCACTTGACCCAAGACTCATCGGCCGCGCGCAATAATGAGACCTAGGGACCAGCAATCTCCTACCCTAGTTTTTGGCTGATTGCTCCGTCCTTAGCGTAAGAATTTGAAAGTTTCCAAAGTTTGGAGGGAAATTTTACACGTCTGAACAGCAATAGGTTTTTCTCTATTCGATGATTAGAAGTTTATTCTGAAATTAATTGCTGGTTTGCACGTAAACGTCATGGCGGCCGTGGTGGTCAAGAACAAAAAAAATTTCTCTCCTCTGGGGACTAAAGTCTGTTTTCATGTAAATTTTCAAGGAAAAAAATCTATTATATTGACCCACAACATGGCCACTTGTCAAGTGGTTGCAAACCAAGAATTTGTCACTTTGGACGTGCTTCCAGAGAGATCACGTAACACGTAATGTTGCACCACGCAACACGGAGTCATCGAGATTCCTCAGTGCACGTCAGATTGCCCGGAACCAAACCTTTCAAAACATTTTCCCACAAAAAACACATCGCAATACCTATGACGAGAGGAAGAGATAAGAGACTGACCTGGCCTTAACGGATTTGGTGCTTGCATGGTGTATCGGCGCGTAGTTCTTTGATGCGGGAGAGATT